GGTGGACATCATCATCAGCGAGTGGATGGGCTACTGCCTCTTCTACGAGTCCATGCTCAACACTGTGCTGCACGCCCGTGACAAGTGGCTGGTGAGGCGTGGGGGTCCCCACAGGGCTGCGTATGTGTTGGGGTATGATAGGTACAGGCTAAGAAGGCAGCAGCAAAGAGGGCCCACCAGGTATTCGTGTGGAGTGGGCCTTCCCAGGAAGAGGGGACTGAAGGACTGGCACACGCCTTTAATCCCAGCCCTTGGGAGGCAGAGACAGGCAGATCTCTGAGTTTAAGGCCAGCCTGGTCAACCTAGTGCCAGCCAAGGTTACAAAGAAAAACCCTGTCTTGAAAAAACCAAAAAAAAAAAAAAAAAAAGAAGAAGAAGAAGAAGAAGGCCGGTGCAGAGGTCTTGTATCAGGAGTGGTTCTGCTGTGTGAAAGCAGAAAGGAGATGAAAGGGCAGTGGGAGTTGGGAGGAACCCAAAGAGGGTTTGGAGGGCACTGTACAGAATGGGGAGGTGGACCTCTTTCCCCTGGAGTGTTTCCAGAATCCCAAGAACTGTGGGACAGCCTGGGCTCTGGGTGCCCTGTGGCTGCTGCATAGGGACCAGACTCAAGGATAAGAGTGAGGCACAGACAGCTAAGGGGTCTCTGGAAGGTGATGGTGAGCCAGGGAGCCGGGTAGGGTGGACAGTTGGGTCTGCTAAGATGGTGGTAGTCTCTTACTTTCACCCAACCCCTCCCTCAGGCACCTGATGGCCTCATCTTCCCAGACCGGGCCACCCTTTATGTGACAGCCATTGAGGACCGACAGTATAAAGACTACAAGATCCACTGTGAGCTGGGCCTGTGGTAGTGAGGGCAGGTGGGTGTCAAGGGTGGGACCTGGATTCCATAGCTCACCTGATTCTCTGTACCTAGGGTGGGAGAATGTATATGGTTTTGATATGTCCTGCATCAAAGATGTGGCCATCAAGGAGCCCCTGGTGGACGTGGTAGACCCAAAGCAGCTTGTCACCAACGCCTGCCTCATAAAGGTAACTCAGAGTAGTAGGGGTTCCAGGTCCCTGACCTGGCCGTTAGAGGCATGGGGAAGATAATAGGGCCCACCGTCTGAGGTGTGAGGACCATGGTTGGTACTGAATTTCAGATAGCAAGGACACAGCAGGTAGAGTGCACTGAGACAAGCTGCCTCAGCAATGATGGAAGCAGCTGGCATGTGAGGGGGCCTCTGCCTGGTGGTCAGTGCAAGGAACCCTGTGAGGCCCCCTGGCAGCACAGCACAGACAGGCAGAGCTGGTTTATGGGGGTAGGGGTGTCTGCCTGGGGGGTTGCTGGTTTGCTGTGGTTCCTTCTGTTAATTTGTTAGGTGCCTGTGGTCTGAGGATCAGGAGTCGGTACTGGAGAGATGGTGGCTCAGTGCTTAAGAGTACTTTTTGCTCTCTCAGGGAATGTCAGGCAGCTGCTCACAATACAGTTTATAACTCCTGGTTCCAGGCATGCAACACCCTAGCCTCACTGGTCATCTCCATGCCATGGTTCTATAAACTCAAGCAGACTCACACATACAGAAATAGTATTATATATGTTTAGTGTGTACCAGTGTTTGTCTGCGTGTAGGCCTCAGCACCAGGTATATGCCTGATGCCTGTGGAAGAAGGCACCAGGTCTGGAACTGGAGTTAGACAGTTGTGAGCTGCCCTTGGATGTACTGGGATTTGAATCCAGAACTTCTGGGAAAGGAGCCAGTACTTTTAACCACTGAGCTATCCCATCAGCACCCATAAATAATCTTTAAGGGCCAGCCTAGGCTGCATAAGACCCTATTTCAGAAAGTGGGGCAGGGGGAGTTGTTCTGTGGTGGGAGGGACCTGCCGGCAGCGGTTATCAGGAGCAGGGCGGGCTCTGAGCGCTGGGCAGCAGTTATCGCAAGCGGGGCGGGCTCTTAGCGCTGGGCTTGCCTTTTGGCAGGAGGTTGACATCTACACAGTCAAGGTGGAGGACCTGACCTTCACCTCCCCCTTCTGCCTGCAAGTGAAGAGGAATGATTATGTGCATGCGCTGGTGGCCTACTTCAACATTGAGTTCACCCGCTGCCACAAGAGGACCGGCTTTTCTACCAGTGAGGACAGTGGGCTGTGCCAGGGGCAAAAGAGCATGGTTGAAGTTTCTGTGATGAGCAGGGGATGAGCCTTTGGGGCTTACAACCCTCATAGAGCCACTTGGGAACCAGGGCAGAAAGCTGTCAAGGTTTAAGACCAGTCTGGGAAAGTTGGTGATACCCTATCTCAGAAAAGCACAGAGCCTGCCTGGGTTCACTTGGGGGGACCTGGGGCATGGCTCAGCTCTAGAGTGTTATCATAGCCTGTGATTCTGCCCGTGGGCTCCACCGTTGATCCCAGTAAGAAAGGGGGTGAGTGGGGCCCTGAGGACCTGTTTCAGCCTGGCTGTTCGTGGTTTAGAGTCTGATCCCAGTGTAGCTCTCTAAACACAGGCAGGATACAGGGACCAGAGCCCTCAGAGCCTTGCTGGTAGAGACCTGTGGGGCACTAGCTAGTTTTGCATGCTGGCACTGAAGCAAAGGCTGGGACTGACCATGCCACCTTTCAGGTCCTGAGTCCCCATACACACACTGGAAGCAGACTGTGTTCTACATGGAGGACTACCTAACGGTGAAGACTGGAGAGGAGATCTTTGGCACCATTGGCATGAGGCCCAACGCTAAAAACAATGTGAGGCTCAAAAGAGTACAGAAAAATCAGGGTCTGGGTAGAGTTGGGCAGTGTGAGCCTGGGGAGTATAGGAAGTACTTTAGGAAGTCCCAGCATGGCTGCTGGGTCCAGTGATAAGCCTTGCTCAGTACCCTCCCTGTGGGCACAGCAATCACCTCACTGCCTGTACATGTCAAAGTGGCAGATGCCAGAGAGCAGGTGATAGAAACAGCCCTCAGTGGCCCAGCCTTACTCTCTGGGTGGGTGCTTGCAGGGGACCAGAGACAGTGGAGGGCTGAGAAAGTGAAGGAGAAGCCCCGGGAGTCTGCCTTATAGGTGCTGGGTGGCGTTGCTCTGTGTGGCAGAAACTGATCCAGACTGGGCTCTGGTGATGGCTGGGGAGCATGGGTGAAGATGACCTATGGTGCTGTCATTAAGCCAGGGTTCGGGGTCTGCAGTGAGCTAGCAGGAGTTGGAATACACTTCACCTTGGCCTGAGGGCACGTCTGAGCCTTATCTCCCACCTTTTCCCTTCAGCGCGACTTGGACTTTACCATCGACCTGGACTTCAAAGGTCAGCTGTGCGAGCTCTCTTGTTCCACCGACTACCGGATGCGCTGAGGAGGCGCCAGGATGGCCCTCCTGCAGAAGAGGGCTTAGGGGCTGGGCTTTGGGGGATGGGAGGGTACATCGTGACTGTGTTTTTCATAACTTATGTTTTTATATGGTTGCGTTTATGCCAATAAATCCTCAGCTGACCATGCCACTGCTTGCCCTGGGCTGTGGTGGTTGGGGAGCCTCTCACTGCCTGGGGAACTTCTATTTTAGGTCTAGGGATGTGTTCCTCAGGCAAGGCCATTTCCTCCTCACCTGCCTTCAGCTATTGTAACCTGTCTGTGATCCTTTGAGGCCAAAGAACTGAGTCTATTTGAGCCTTCACCTGCTTTCAGTTATACTGGATTGTGGTTTGGAGGCCATATCTCCTCCAGCTGAGTCTGCCTCCCACGTCCTGTCCTGCCTAAGCTGTTTCTGTTTTCTTGGAGGGGTGTGGTTGAAAGAGGGTTTCTCTGTGTGGCCTTGGCAGTCCTGGAACTAGCTCTGTAGACCAGGCTAACCTCCAAATCACAGAGATCCACCTGCCTCCGCCTCTTTTGTGCTGGGACTGAAGACCTGCACTATGGTCCTGTGCCATATGGTTTTGGTTAGGCACACGCACACACAGGATTTCTCTGTGTGGCGGTGGCTGTCCTGGACCTTACTTTGCAGATTAGGCTGGCCTCGAACAGATACCTACCTGCCTCTGCCTCCCAAGCACTGTGCCTTGGGATTAAAGGCATGTGCCACAACTGCTCAACATTTTAAAGGTATCTATGTTTTGTCTGCATGTATGCCTGCACACCAGCAGAAGGCATCAGTTCACAATATATGGTAGTAAACCACCACATGGTTGCTGGAACTTGAACTCAGAACCTCTAGAAGAGCCAAGCACCCAGTGCCCTTACCTCCATCCTGTACCCTTTCTAAGTAGTCTGGTTCATTCCAGAGACCCCAGGCTACCTTCCCCCTCGTGTCTTCAGGAGTAAGGGTGAGATCAGTGTCCTGATCCACTAGTGTTTAGGGAAGTTGAGTCACCCTGGGCAGGGAACAGGCAGGAACTGGGATCGTATTTGGCATGGCAGAATGGGGTTGGGTCATTAAAGCCAGAGCTCACTTAGACCTAGGCTCTAGGATGCCCTTAGACAAAAAAAAAAAGCCAGTGTGCTCTGGCTTTCTGCCCTGTACCTGAAGGTTCTTCAGCCACACTAGCTTCCAAGTCCTGCTAGAGAAGCCTGAGCATAGGACCATCACAACTCCCCACCTGCCAGATGACAGCGGTTGTCTGTCGGGGTGTACCCAGAGGACCACCGGATCCATGGTGGACAGTGGAATAACACCAGGCTAACGTACATCTGTGCTCATTGTGTGCGGTCCCTCTGTCTAACATGAACCTATACCCCAGCGGCACGTCTTTCCGGTGCCTTTCAGTCCCTGCCCCTGCTGTGGGTGGTTCTGATGAGGCCTGACCGCAAGCATCTCCTAGGATGGGCTGCAGCAGATATATGGCAACACGCATGATGTTGCCTAAAAGAGAACTGTGAGCTTCGACCGAGCTAAGGCTGGTCTAGTCTCTTGAACGGGCTGAAAACCGGATTCAGGATAACAGGGTTGGACGCTAGGACTCTGAGGAGGCGGGGAGAGAACGCGGAGGGATTGGAAAAGGGCAGGCGCTGAACGCGGAGGGATCAGAGGGGGCGGGGATAAAACCCAGGCCCTGAATGCCGGGTAGACACCCACGGCGTGGATCTCGGCTTCAGGGTGACAGCCAAAGACAATTGATCAAGTCGTGCACTCATTACACAGGCACTAGATAGATGTGCAAAGAACACGGTACTGAGCTCCAAAGTGGGGAAAAGAGGTGTTGGTGGGATTGACTCCAGGGGCCGCAGCTGCTGACTTCTGAACTGTGTAAGTACCAGAGCCGGGCACAGGAGGGGCTGCTGGCCTTGTGCTGGGGTAGGCCAGTGGGGCTTCTCCATCACTTGCCCTGGACTCTCCTCCCCGCATCCCTCGCTGCCGAGCATGCGCAGTAGGGTGCTTCCTTTTCCTTACCTCTCCAGACCCCATTGTGGAAAGGGCTCCGTATGCCTCTGCCTTGCAATGGGAAGCCAACAGTGCCACTCTAGGTGGATGTTCGTTTTCCTATAAATCAAAAAACGAGTTCGTTTAAAAATAAAAATAAAAACTAGTGTGTTTTATTTGAAAAACCCACAAGTAAACCTGGATCGGTTTTCCTCCCCCACCCCAAATACTGATAACTGAATTCTCAGCAAGCTTGCTCTCCAGCCTCTCCCTACATTCCCAGAGACCCCCAATTGAATGAAGCCCTACCCCAAAGCCCTCTGACTCTCCAACTGTGAACTGCAACAGCTGTCAGGGTCTTAGGGCAGAGGGGGCTGAGTGCTGCGGCCTGGGGCTGTGGGGAGGAAGGGAGCGGGTCTGACATGCTGCACTGGCTCTGATGGAGCGCTGGGGGTCTGGACTCCCCGGGGCCTTAACCCCTCCACCCCCACATCTGAGAGTAGAAGCAAATCGGCACCCGTGGGTCTGAAGGAGGACGGCCAGATCCTGGAGAATGACTCTCCGTCTTCCTCCTTCTAGGGCTCGCAGGGAACATGGCTGAGGCACACCAGGCCTCCAGCTTGCTGTGTTCACTGAGCTCCGACGGGGCAGAAGTGGAGCTCAGCTCCCCTGTGTGGCAGGAGATTTACCTCTCCGGCTTGCGCTCCTGGAAAAGGCATCTCTGGCGTGTCTGGGTGAGGAGAGCTACTGGCTGGTTTGCTTCTGGGGACCCAGGTGCCTGCTTCTGCGGTACCTGAAGCTCGCTTCTGAAGGTCTGGATGTCCAGTTCCGGGCCACTACTAGCTATCTGTCTATGGCTTCATCTGGGATGCTCAGTCCCACCTACTGGCCTCCCCTGCTCAGCTCTTAACTCACTTCCCTCCTCCCCCAACAACTTCTAGTAGTGAAGTCTCCTTATTTTGGATCTGTCTGTCTGTCTATCCATCTATCTGTCAGCGCCGAGGGTCAGAACCCAGGGTCTTGAACAAAGTAGGCCAGCTTGAATGCTGCCCTCAGCCCCTCACTAGTAGATTCCAAGGGCTGCCCTACCACTGAGCCACACCCCAGCTCCTCACGGTAGATTCTAGCAAGAGACTCTATCACAGTTGCAGCCCCTTATTGGGGAATTCTAGGCAAAGGCTGTACCACATCCCCAACTCCTTACTGAAGATCCTGAGCTCTGCCCACATCCAGGACCTCAAAAGCCACTGAGGGTAATGCAGAGCGTGTCCCAGGTACACATGACTGAAGATGCCCTTTTCTCGCCACAGAACGACATCTTTACTGGCGTGGCCCCTGCGAGCCCCCTCAGCTGGCTCTTCCTCTTTAGTGCAATCCAGCTCGCTTGGTTCCTCCAGCTGGATCCTTCCCTAGGACTGATGGAGAAGATTAAAGAGTTGCTGCCAGCCTGGTGAGGACCTCCCTCTTCATCCCCGTCACTGCCTTAAGCCGGGCCACCCTGTGCTCTGCCTGTCAGAGAAAGGCGTGCACCACATTTGGTACCCTTCATGCATTTTTGATCCTGGCTACTTGATAAGAATGATGGAAAATAGCTAATTTTTTATGGATTTTTTTAAGATTTATTTTGTAAATTGTGTGTCTGTATGGGTGTATCTTCATGTGAATGCTGGTGCCAGGGGAGGCTGAGGTGTTGAAACCTGAGGGCTTTCAGGCACCTGTGAGCTACCTATATGGGTGCTGAGAACTGAGGTTGGCTCTTCTGCAAGCGCAACAGGTACTTCTTGTTTTACTGAGGGTTTTTGTTGGGTTGTTTTTATTTTGGTTTGGTGTTTTGTTTGTTTGTTTGTTTGTTTGTTTGTTTTTGAGACAAGGTTTCTCTATGTATCCCTGGCTGTGCTGGAACTCCATCTGTAATCCAGGCTGGCCTCTCCAACTCAGAGGTCCTCCTGCCTCTGCTTCCCGATTGCTGGGATTAAAAATTAAGGCTGTACACCACACTGCCCAGCCTTTTTTCTTTCTTTCTTTCTTTCTTTCGAGTGTTTTTTTATGTATGTGGTTCTGGCTGTCCTGGAACTCATTATGCAGATCAGGCTGGCCTCAAAGTCACAGAGATCCACCTGCCTCCTGCCTCCCAAAACCTGGAAGTGCTACCATATCAGGTTTGTCAATCATGGTGGCTGGTAATCCCAACACTTGGAAGGCAGAAGCAGCAGATCTCTATGAGTTCAAGCACAGCCTGGTCTACATAGAGTTTTAGGATAGCCAGGGATACATAGGGAGAGGCTGTCTAAAAATACAAAACAAAAACAAAGAAAAATCATCAGTCAGTAAATGCCTACAAACCCAGCATTTGGGAGGCCCAGACAGGGAGTTTTGAGTTTAAAGCCATCCTGGGATACAAACCAAGGTCCCTTCTCACAAGAACAAGCCAAAGCAAACATCACTTTCTTTAGGAAGGGCCAGGAACCCAAGCAGGGGTACTTGTAAGTGTCCCAGGTTCTGAGGAGTGGGTCAGTCTAACTTGCGGAGAAGATGCAGATTTTCAAAACAAGGCCTAGCCCAGGTTAGCCGTAGAAACCCCTAGAAGGGGTATATTCCATGATCCAGACTAGAAAAAGGAATTCTGTGGAGGAGCTGCACTGACATGTCCATGTCCTTAAACCTGGGGTCCCATGAAGGGGAGATTGTTACAAGGCAAAGCTCAGCTTCATCCACATTTCACTTTTCAGTGTCCTTTTCCTTCCTTCCTCTCTTTTATTTATTATGGTTTTTCAAAACAGGGTTTCTTTGTGTAGCTCTGGCTCTTCTTAGACCAGCTTCATAGACTAGTCTGACTCCAAACTCACAGAAATCTATCTCCCTCTGCCTCCCGAGTGCTGGGATTAAACACATGCATCACCACCACCCAGATTTTGTTTTATGTTTTGTTTTTTCTGCTTTTTGAGACAGGGTTTCTCTGTGTAGCCTTGGCTGGACTGGCTTTGTAGACCAGGCTGGCCTCCAACTGACAAAGATACTTGTTTTAAAAATGGGGTATCAAGGGCTGGAGAGATGGCTCAGAGGTTAAGAGCACCATCTGCTCTTCCAAAGGACCTGGGTTCAATTCCCAGCACCCACATGGCAGCTCACAACTGTCTGTATCTCCAGTTCCAAGGGATCTGACACCTTCACACTAATGCACACAAAATAAAATTAAACAAATTATTTAAAAATAAAATTAAAAAAAATGGGGTATCAGTTACTCTGTAGCTAGTCTGGCCTAGAACTCCCATAAATCCTCCTGCATGAGCTTCATAAGTACTAGATTACACTATTCTTACACCTGGCCAAAACTCATAAATTTCTGTGCAAAGTGGCTTTATTTATGTATTTATTTGTTTTTTTTTTTGTTTTTTGTTTTTTTTTACATTGGTATTCTGCCTCTCCTGTGTGAGGGTGTCAGATCCACTGGAACTGGAGTTACAGACAGTTGTGAGCTGTCATATGGGTGCTGGGATTTGAACCTGGGTCCTTTGGAAGAACAGCCAGTACTCTTAATTGCTAAGCCATCTCTCTAGCCCCAGCATTTGTTTCTTTATGGCAGGGTTTTATAGCCTAGGCTGTCCTTGATTTCATTATGTAAGCGAGGATGGAATTTAACTCATCCTCCTGCTTCTCCAGTGCTGGGATTTTATTTTATTCATTTATTTTTATTTTGGGTTTGTGTGTGTGTGTGTGTGTGTGTGTGTGTGTGTGTGTGTGTGTGTGTATGACAGTATTTCTCTGTGTAGCCCTGGCTGTCCTGCCCTGGCTTTGTAGACCAGGCTGGCCTTGAACTCACAGAGACCCACCTGCCTCTACCTCCCCAAGTTCTGGGATTAAAGGCGTGCGCCACCGCGTGGGCCTAGCTCAGTGTGGGATTTTAGGAAAGTGCCATCACAGCCAGCTTATGCACTGAACCCAGGGCATTGGCATGCTAGGCAAGCACTCCACCCTGATGCCTTCCTGGTTCCAGAGGGTGATTTTAGAAGCTTGGTGCTTTCACAAGGGTAGTCATGGGCAGCAGAGGGACACACCCACTTTATGACATAAATAAATGTCTAACATGGTTGTGCCAACACCTATCTTGCAGGCTCAGTCTGCTGCATAGCTTCGGGGCCAGCCCTGGCCTTTTTTTTTTTTTTCCCCCCCCCCTCTCTCTCCCAGGGCTGGACAATACCATCAGCTCCAGGAGCTCCTGGCAGCAGCACTGTTTGCCTCATGTTTGTGGGGAGCTCTGATCTTCACACTTCATGTGGCTTTGAGGCTCCTTCTGTCCCACCATGGCTGGCTTCTGGAACCTCATGGCACCATGTCCTCACCCACAAAGACCTGGCTAGTATGTGAGAGTCTAGACTCCCAGAACATATGCTGCTGCTCCTCTGTGTCCGTCCCCTACTCCTACTCTCTCTGGGTCTCTGTCCCTTTTTCTCTCTCTTGGACTCTGTGTGTCTCTCTCTCTAAGTCTCTGTTCCTCTCCTCCCTCCCTCCCCTCTCTCTCCATCACCTCTGTCCTCTGTCTTGTTCTTCACTCTGTCTCTCTCTCCCTTTATTATCTCCATCCTCTCTCTTCCCTCCACCATCCGTCTTCTTATCCTCCCTCATCTCCATTCTCCCTCTCTCTCCCATCATCTCTGTCTTCTCTGCCCCATCATCTCTCCACTTTCCTTCCCCCTTCATCTCCTTACTCCCTCTGCCTCCTTCCCCCAACTGGGTTCTCTCCTCTGTCCGGCAGGCACTGGTCCGAATCTTCTCTGGAAGGAACCCGAGGCTGTTTGGCTTCCAACGCGCGCTCCCGCGACAGCCTGTGCCCACGGCGCAGGAGTCCGTTCGCAAGGTGGGAGTGTCCCGGGGTGGGGCGGTCCCGGGGCCGGTGGGGCCTGACACCCCGGTCTGTTCCTGTAGTACCTAGAGTCAGTGCGCCCTGTGCTTGGGGACGAAGCTTTCGACCGCGCGGCGGCGCTGGCGAGCGACTTCCTGAGGTTGCAGGCACCACGGCTGCAACGCTACCTGCACCTCAAGTCCTGGTGTGCTTCCAACTACGTGAGTGTGAGCGGCCAGCCCGGCCCTGCAGCGATTGGCCCTCCCGTCCTAGCCATGCCCTGCCACGATTGGCCCAGCCAAGTGACTGGCCTGCTTCAACCCTGCTTGTGATTTGTTGACTAGGTAGTCCCGCCCCTTCGGCAGACTCTAAGCCCCGCCTCTGCACTCAGCCCCTCCCTCTGGCCCCCAACATTGGAATTCAGGAGCCTGCATCTGAGTTTGAGTCCCACCACTTGAGTTAGGCCCAGCATTCCACATGAACCTGTCCAGCATTTCCAGCTCCTGGAAATGGTTAGCTCATTCGGGAGCTGAGCTAGATGGGAAACTGAGGCATGGAATGAGTCACATGATTCGGGAATGCCAGCCTTGGCTTCTGTAGGAAACTGGAGACAGGTGACAGGAGACAGGCACGTGAGAGGTGGGGAAGAAGGACAGAACTATAAATGTCTCAGGGCTGGGCAGAGAGCCTGACGGGGGACTGAGCCTGTCCAGTTGGTAGCAGGACAGGGGAAAGGGAATCGGCAACAGCTGGGTGGTTAAGAGCCTTGTTGCTCTTACCGAGGACTTGGGTTTGGTTTCCAGCGCCCACCTAGTGGCTCCGAAGTCTCTATAACTCCAGCTCCAGAGGATCTAATGCCCTCTCCTGACTCCTGAGGGCGCTGCTCCTGCACAGACATACGTGCAGGCTGAACACGTAAACTCACAGTAAATCTAAGTTGTTCTTTTTTTAAGCACGTACAGGAGGGCTTGGGGTACGGCTTAGTATGTACCTAGCACTGTGAGGCAGGGCCATACCCAGTGCATGGCCGGCAAGCATTCCACCAAGTAAGACGTCTGCAGCCCTCAGAGCAGGATCTCACTGCTCATTGTGTGTCAATGTGTGTGTGTGTGTGTGTGTGTGTGTGTGTGTGTGTGTGCACAGATGTGCATGCGTGTTTGTGTGTACAGATATGCACGTGTGGGTGCGCATGAGTGTGCAGCCCAGAGGCCTGCCTCAGGTGTCACTCCTCAGGGCACCGCACAGTTGCGGTTTTTCGTTTGTTTACTGTAAGATTTTTATATGTATGCGTGTTTGCCTGTGTGGGTGTGTTACATGCGTGCTTTACCCACGGAAGCCAGAAAAGGACGGCAGATCTGATGCCCTGTAGCTGGCATTATCTACAGTTGTGCGATACCATGTGGGTGCTGGGAACCAAACCCAGCTCCTCTACAAGAGCCAAGAGTGTTGTTAACTGCTGAGCCATCTCCACAGCTCCATCTTATTGTTTGAAACGGGTCCCTCACTGGGGGGGGGTTCTGCTGCTTGGGCTAAGCTGTCTGGCCAGCAGGCCTCAGCGATTCTGCCCTTCCCCCCCCAGCACTGAGATTACAAGTGTGAACCCCAACACCTGGCTCTTATGTGAGCCCCAAGGGTCTAACCCAGACTCACATGCTTGTGAGGCAACCGAGCCATCTCCCCAGTCCTCTTCTATTTAATGCTTACATAATAGCCTGTAACTTGAGGGTAGCAGATTTTCATTAGCTAATTCTTCCTCCATGGATGTATAGGTTTTTGCTAGTTGCTAAATCACAGTTTCCCCCCTGAGATCCTGGCTGCCCTGTGACTCGGGGAAGTCTGTGGGCCCTGGTTACACCTTCCTCGCCCTCGCAGATGGCATCTCTGATTCTCCTCACAGGTCAGTGACTGGTGGGAAGAGTTTGTCTACCTGCGCTCCCGAGGCTCACTGATGGTTAACAGCACCTACTACCTGATGGTGAGGAGGGAGGCTGGGCAGTGGGTAGCCTCGGTGACCCATGACGTAAGTGCGGAATTCTGTCTGGGGACCGCCATCCCGTCTGCTTTGGAGGTCTGGAGGTCGGGCCCCATCAGGGACAAGCATGGCCTCAGTGCCCTTTGTGTTCCCCTCCTCTGCCACCAAGCAGGATTTCCTGTATGTCACGCCCACACCACTGCAGGCGGCACGTGCGGGCAACGCCGTCCACGCCCTCCTCCTGTATCGCCACCTCCTGAACCAGCAGGAGATCCCACCGGTAAGACAGGTTCCACGGCTGGCGTGGGGGTGCGGGGGGCCGCAGGGGCCGAGCCCAGCTCAGGAACCCTTGGGCCCCTGCAGACTTTGCTGATGGGGATGCGGCCTCTGTGCTCTGCCCAGTACGAGAGGATATTCAACACCACGAGGGTTCCAGGGGTGGAAAAAGGTGAGGACAATCCCCGGTCCCGGCTTAGTCCGTGTCCCCTCCTGCAACAGTGCCAGTGGCTGAGAGCGGGACTCTAGCCTGGGTGGGTCGCTGCCCTGACTGTAATGTTTCCCGTGTGGCCTCAGGCAAATCCTTGTGCCCTCTGAGCCTTAGTTTCTTCAACAGTAAAATGGGATAACCCTGGTACCTGGGGTGGTGTGCATTTAAAAATAGTACATGAGTACTCTGGCGGTGGTGGCGCACGTGGGAGGCAGAGGCAGGAGGGCCTCTGAGTTCAGGGCCAGCCTGGTCGACAGAGTGAGTTCCAGGAGAGCCAGGGCTACACAGAGAAACTCAGAAACTCTGTCTCTAAAAAACAAAAACAACAAAAATGACAAAACGGAAAGAAAGAGAAAAAGAAAGAAAAGAAACAAAGAAAAGGAAAAGAAAGAAAGAAAGAGAAAGAGAAAGAAAAATACTAATGTGGGGCAAGCGAGAAAGTCTCTCAGTTGGTATGGTTTTTAATTTTTAAATTTTTTGGCAATTTTTAAAAATGGAAAAAAGTGACATCATTGCCCTTCCTCACTTTCCTTCCTCCAACCCTTCCCATGTTCCCCAACTTGTCCCCCTCAAATGTATGAGTTTTTTGTTTCTTTGGGCGGTTTGTTGGGGTTTCTTGTTTGTTTGGAGCTAGGGCTCTCTGCATAGCCCTGGAACGCAGAGGTCCGTCTGCCTCTACTTCCCGAGAGCGTGTGGCACCACCCCCCTGCTGCTGCTTTTACATCCCAGTCTGTCTGCTTTCAATCCCCTGTGTAGGAGTGTTTCCCTGCATGTATATATGAGCACCACCCATGTGTCTGGTGCTTTTGGAAGTCTGAAGGTGTCGGATCTCTTGGAACTGTAGTTACAGCTGGTTGTGAGTTGCCATGTGGGTGACAGGAATTGAACCCAGGTCCTCTGCCAGAGCAACAGAGCTCTTGACCTCTGAGCCATCTCTCCTGCCCCTTAGCAGACCTCTTGCCTAGCTGCAGGAGGTCCTCTGATCCATTTTTAAAAATTTCTTAAAATTTTGTTTACGTAATCCCTTTACAGCCTGATCCCAGCCCCCTTCCTCCTCTCCTCCCAGTCCTGTCCTCCTACCATCTCCCCCCATTCTACTCTCTTCTTCTCAAAGAAGGGGAGGCTCCTAAGAGGCACCAACCCGCCCCGGCACCTCAAGTCACAGCAGGACTAAGCACAAGCTCCCCCTGAGGCCAGACAAGGAGGCCCAGCTAGGAAAAAGGGGTCCAGAGGCAGGCAGCAGAGTCCGAGACAGGGATCCACATGTTGGCCTACTGCACGTCTGCTCCATACGTGAGGGGCCTAGGTCCAGCCCATGCCTGCTCTTCGGTTGGTGGATCAGTCTCTGTGAGCCCCCAAGGGCCCAGGCTAGTTTATTCTGTAGGTCTTCTCGTGGTGTCCTTGACCCCTCCACCTGCCTCTGTCCTTCTCCCACTCTTCACAACACATCCCGAGCTCGGCCTACTGTTTGGCTGTGGGTCTGTGGGTCTGTGGGTCTCTGCATCTGTTTCCATCAGCTGCTGGATGAAGCTCTCAGAAGACAGTCATGCTAGGCTCCTGTCTGCAAGCACAGCATTAATAGTGTCCGGGGTTGGCTCTCTCCCATGGGGTGGCTCTCAGGTTGGGACAGTCACTGGTTTGCCGTTCCCTTAGTCTCTGCTCCATTTGTATTCCTACACTTCCTGTAGGCAGGATAAATTTTGGGGCAAAGGTTTTACGGGTGGGTTGGTGTCGCCCTTTCTCCACCGGCAGTCCCACCTGGCTACAGGCAAGTTCAGGCTCTCTCCGTCCCCTGCTGTGAGGGGTTGCAGCTAGGGTGGCCCCCATAGACTCCCAGGGCCTCCCCTGTCCCCGAGATGCTCCCCAACTGATTTTCACTCTCTATAGGTCCTCCTCTGCCCACCCCTTTCTGTTCTCCTTCCCACCCCCTCTCCCACACAGCTCCCTCATCTACTTCAGATGAGTATTCTATTTCCTCTGCTACGTGAAATTCCCTCTGTTCCATTTCAAACACTCACCCCTGAACGAGGAAGGTGGAGGCATAAGGACCAAGAGTTCAAATACATCGATGTTGAAGGAAGGCAGCCTGGGTTCACTCAGGCAATGGAATACTACACAGCTGTCCACAATAACAGAAGCTCCAGGGGCAGGGAGCACGTTCCGTAAGTGGGGTGGCTCTGATCATGTAGCCTCCTCCCATCTTTGTGTTCTGCCCATCCTCCTCTAGACTACCTCCGTCACCTCCGGGACAGCCGGCATGTGGCTGTCTTCCATCGGGGCCGATTCTTCAGTGTAGGGACCCACTCGTCCAGTGGCCTGCTGTCTCCACGGGCCCTAGAGCAGCAGTTCCAGGAGATCCTAGATGACCCCTCCCCAGCTTGCCCCCTTGAGGAACACTTAGCTGCTCTGACTGCTGCGCCCAGGTGAGGCCAATGGCCTGAGGTGACAAGGGGCAGGCTGGGCTCCAGAGGGCAGGCTGGGCTCCAGGGGGCAGGCTGGGAGGGCCAGTTGGGCTCAGACCCATCCTGCTTGGACAGGAGTATGTGGGCCCAGGTGCGGGAGTCAGTGAAGACCCATGCTGCCGCTGCCCTGGAGGCTGTGGAAGGGGCTGCCTTCTTTGTGTCCCTTGATTCCGAGCCGGCAGGACTGACCAGGGAGGACCCTGCAACTTCCCTGGATGCCTATGCCCACGCTCTGCTGGCTGGCCGAGGCCATGACCGGTGAGTCTGTCCCCCTATCAACCCACCTACACGCTTATTGCATGCTTATTGAGACCCTGGGCTCCACAGGGGAGACAGCCAGACCCCACACCTCAGCAGCTAGATCCAGGGGTCACTTATCCGACAACTCCAAACTCAGTTCAGAACAAGAAGACCTCTAATCCAGATAGCCCGTGTACTTAAGGCCCCAGACTTTCCTATCTTGATACTCATTTTGTCATAGACATAGATGTACCTCATTGTATTCTAGCAGCTGCGTAGCCTTCCATAGCCTGAGCATAGCGTATTGTTCATGTGTATGAGCTGTATTTGCATGTGTGCCTGCATGACAAGAGCATCAGCTCTCACTATAGATGGTTGTGAGCCACCATGTGGGTGCTGGGAATTGAACTCAGGACCTCTGGAAAAGCAGCCAGGGCTCTTAATCACTGAGCCATTTCCCCAGCCCATTTGTTTGTTTGTTTGTTTGATTAGAGTATAACATAGTTTCCTTAACTGATACTCTGCCTTTGAACTTCTGGCTTATTGCTAGTTACTGCTCATGACCAACTTCTTTATTGAGCTGTCAGATAATGGAGTCTGGTTCCATGATAGAGGATTATTTAACCATAAAGACAGACCCAGGATTGTGTGTCTGTTCCCAGCACATCTAAAGCTGACTTCCTGAAAGTTAAGTTAAGTTTAATAAATAAAAAGTTAAGTTTTATTTATTCCATATACAATATTCTGTCTACATGTACACCAAAAGAGGGCACCAGATCTCATTAAGGATGGTTATGGGCCACCATGTGGTTGCTGGGAATTGATCTCATGAGCTCTGGAAGAGCAAGCAGCCAGGGCACTTAACCTCTGAGCCATCTTTCCAGCCCAGTTTGTTATACCCATGTGGAGACTGTCTGAAATGACCTCTAGAGACTGGCAGTGCTCTCAGAGGCCCCTGGGGCTGGCACCCCTGAGCCGGTTCCCCTGCTTCATCCTCACCCTGAAGTGCACCCCTACAACAAAAGCCCCTCAGGCGCCCACATTCTCCTACCTGCCCTGGCTCTTTGGTGACCCGTCTAAATTTTTTCTGCAGCTGGTTTGACAAATCCTTCACCCTCATCGCCTTCTCCAATGGGAAGCTGGGCCTCAGCGTGGAGCACTCCTGGGCTGACTGCCCTGTCCCCGGACATATGTGGGAGGTGCGTTCCTAAGGCTGGGCACCTCTCCAAGACTAACTCTCAAAGACCTGAGAACAGCGACATGACAGGCTCACAGACAGACACAGAAGAGCCGCAAAGAATCAGGAGGCCATGGTGACCTGCCTGGAGTGTCACCTGGCTCAGAGAAAGGAAAGTGACTGTCCAGGGTCACACAGCAAGAAGGCACAGTGAGAGTGTAAGCCTAGAGCCTGGGACACCTCCCCTCCTGGGCACATGCAAACACACACACACACACACACACACACACACACGATGTTTTAGCTCACGCACACACATGCATATGTACACACAGAGGATGCTGTAGCACACATCTACAATCCAAGTACTTGGAAAGTAGGAAGCCGTAAGTTTGAGGCCACTCAGGGCTACAGGTGAGCAGTTGAGCAGGGAACAAAGCTAGCTTCGGGCTCAGTTCCTGGGTGGAGCTCAGTTCTTGTGATGCCCTGGGTTCCTCCCCAGCTGCATGTAAGATGGCCATGGTGCTGGCGCCCGGCGCTCCAGCACTTAGGAGCTGGAGGCAGGAGGCGCATTCGGTTCATCCTCAGCGACACAGTAAGCTCCAGGCCTAGGCTTCATCAGACCCTGCTTTGAAATGAGACAAAGATGGGCCCACTGATCCCCCATCTTTACAAGGCATCAGAGGGAGGTAGAAAGGTGAGCCCAGAAGGTTGAGCAGCCGGTGCCTGGTCGGCGCGAACTTAGAACCTCCCCCAGCTTTGGGTTGCCGGAGCCCTCCCTGCTTCACTCTGCCTCTCCACCAGGACCTCAGTCCAGAAGAAGTAAAGGCCGGTTCTGTCCACAGTTTACCCTGGCCACAGAGTGCTTCCAGCTGGGCTACGCTGCAGATGGCCACTGTAAGGGGACCCCTGACCCCACCCTGCCGAGGCCTGAGCGCCTGCAGTGGGAGCTGCCGGAGCAGGTGAGGCTCTGCTCTCTATCTCCCCCTGAGGCCCTGCCTCCACGCTGAAGTCCTCCTCACCTCCCTGCCCCAACTTCCCTATCACACCAAACACACCCATCCCCAACCCTAACTTCACCCCAAAGCTTTAACTCTGCCCCCGAAACCCATGCCATTTTCAGCCCGTGCCCCATCTCTATCCCTCCCTCTTAACCTCTGTTCACGGCACGGCACCTTCTCTCCCGGGTGGGCCTGTCCCAACCACCACGGTGCTCCCCAAACTTCAGACTTCAAGCCCAGCAGCCAGCATGCCTAGTCCCTTCAAACCCATTCAAGCTTCCTGCCTGCCAGTCCTTGCCCTCATCCCAGCCACAGCCCACTTCGTCATTGTCGTTCTTGCCCTATCTTAACCTCCTCCTTTCTTTCCTTTCTGACCACATCTCCATCTTCCCTTCCAGAACAGGCCCGCTCTGCCTCTGCTCTGTGTCTAACACCAGTCATTTCTCCCGCCCCCTTCTCTGGCAGATTCACCCGTCCATCTCCCTGGCCCTGAGGGGAGCCAAGACCTTGTCGGGCAATGTTGACTGCCACGTCTTCCCCTTTTCCCATTTTGGCAAGAGCTTCATCAAACGTTGCCATGTCTCTTCAGACAGCTTCATCCAATTGGTCCTGCAGCTGGCCTACTTCCGGGTCAGTGCCTACTCCCTCAGGGCTCCGTCCCCCTGAGCCTTCAACACCTGCCCACAGCCACTTAGCGTCTCTCGCTTTTTGTCATGTGGGTCATCTTTCGTCCATCTTAGGGGTTGTTCACTGTTCCGGATCAGCCTTATTTAGGGTGTGTGGGGTTGGGGTTGGATGAGGCAGGGCTCACAGAGGTCCGCCTGCCTCTACCTTCCAAGAGCTAGGATTAACGGCATGAACAACCAAGGCTGGTAGGTCAGTTGTCTTGTAGGTTGATCATATTGTTGTGAATCAGCCATCTTCTGGTGGGCCATTCATCGTGTGTGGCCAGCCATCTTGTTGTGGGTAAGCTGTCCTGTGAGTCTGCCATCTTGATTCCTCTACATATTTTTGAGCAGAAGGAGGTTGGTTGGCGATCAGGACAAAGGTGGACGAAGACTGCGAAGACATCCTGAGGCTAGCTGACAGGTTCCTCTTCTCCTTTCCCCCAGGACAGGGGTCAATTCTGCTTGACTTATGAGTCAGCCATGACCCGACTGTTCCTGGAAGGCAGGACAGAGGCGGTGAGGTCTTGCACTACAGAGGCCTGTCGCTTTGTGAGAGCCATGGAGGACAAGGAGAAGACAGTGAGTGTGGGCCTCACTGGAGTCTCCATCCTTTGTGTTCATATTTGTAGATACTTGTGACCAGGATCTGGGAGGGGCATCCACACCAAGGGACCAACCAGCTCTGCTCACGGGCACCAAACCTGAGGGAACAGCGATAGATCAGGAGAGTGTGTTCTGGTGCTCATGGGGTGACACACAGGACTGGGGGAAGGAACACTGCAGAGAGCTGTTCTCCCTGCTGCTCCCCTTGCTTTTGCCACTGTGATGCTAATGACCGTGACCTGCACGGAAACCGCACCTCAAGTGGTTTGCTAGCCTCCACTCAGGACCGCCCTGCTCCTGTGACATACTGTGACTCACTGGAGGGCTGAAAGGGCCTCAAGTCAGGCACATATCGCTCACTGTACCTGGCTGTGTGACCCTGGACAAGTTGCTTCTGCTCTGAGCCCATTTCCTCTCAGTAGAGTGAGGTGGATATCCCTGCCTTGTAAACATCTTGGCAGTAGGCTTGAGGCCAGACATGATCAGGTCCCCGAAGTAAGCCCACTTCCTGTCTTTCCATGACCTCGGATTGCCCTGGGAACCAGGACCAACAGTGCCTTGCCCTGTTCCGGGTGGCTGTGGACAAGCACCAGGCTCTACTGAAGGCAGCAATGAGCGGGCAGGGGATCGACCGGCACCTGTTTGCGCTCTATGTCATGTCGAGATTCCTCCATATGCAGTCGCCCTTCCTGACCCAGGTCAGGTGCAGGAAAATGCTCAGAGGAAGAAGAGGGAATGGCAGGAGACAGGAGAAATTAAGAGCAAGGAGGGTGATGTTGAAAAAAATGAGTGGAGGAGCCAGTGGAGACAGTCAAGCCAGAGAGAGGGGCTGAGGGGGAAAGGGACTCAGCAGTAAGCCCCAGTCCAGAATTCCCCACTGAGGGGCTGAGGACCAGGGGCCAAATCCCTGCCTAGCATGCTGCAGGCCCTGGACTTACTGCCCAGCACCAGAAAAGGAAGGGCTGGGGGAGGGAGGCACACGCCTTTACTCTCAATACTTGGCAGGCAGATCCGAGTTCCAGACCAGCCTAGTCTACAGAGTTAGTTCCAGGACAGCCAGGACTACATTGTGAGACCTGTCTCGGAAAAAAAAAAAAAAAAGAAAAAATGGGAGGAGGAGAAAGAAGGGTCAGGTGAGCCCAGCAAAATGGCACACCCTTGTAATCCCAGCACTTGGGATGCAGAGGCAGGCAGATCTCTGTGAGATTGAGGCCAGCCTGCTCCACAGAGTCACAACAGCCAGGGCTACACAGAGAAACCCTGTCTCAGATGGCCTCAGGGAGAAATGGGTGTGCTTAGGGAGGAAGAGCCACCGTCAGAAGACAGCCATTGCTTTGGCATAGGAAGAGGTCTGCCTTGTGGAGCACGAGAGCCTTTCTTGCTCATGTGACCGCCTGCTCCCCTCAGGTCCAGTCACAGCAGTGGCCGCTGTCCACCAGCCAGATCCCTGCGCAGCAGACGCACCTGTTTGATTTCCACAATTATCCGGATTATGTTTCCTCTGGCGGTGGATTCGGGCCCGTGAGTGGACTCTGGGGTTCAGCCTCTGGGCAGCCAAGGAGGGAGGGATGGGGACTCCTGCCCTGCCGGTGTGTGTGTGGGGGGGCTTGCTTCATTCTCCCTGTTACAGGCCAGCGACCAGGGGTATGGCATCTCCTATATCTTCATGGGGGAAAACATGATCACCTTCCACATCTCCAGCAAGAAATCAAGCATAAAAACAGTAAGATGAGCTTGAGTGCCTTTCACCTCTCTCTAAATTCTGGGATTAAGCCCTTCAGACTCTGAAGGTTCCTGGTCTAGCCTTCTCCCTCAGACATCAGTCAAGGCTCCGGCCTCCTCCATTGGACCAGAGGTCCAGGCCCCAGTGCACTTGCTCAGGCCTCCCAGGCCTCCCTGGTACCTTGTTTGCTCTCTGCAGGACTCGCATCGGCTGGGGCAGCACATTGAGAACGCCCTGTTGGACATCGCCTCCCTGTTCCAGGCTGGGCAGCATTTCAAGTGCCAGTTCAGGAGCCTTGGGGAGACCTCGGGACACAGACGTGGTGTTCTCTCCAACAAGACTGTGGACCCCAAGGGCCCCACAACCTCCACCAACCTTTGAGCCCCTCAGCAGGGAGCTGGTCTCTCTCAGGAAGGAGGGCACTGTTTCCAGGGCTAGGCTGGGGCAGACCTGAGGATTGGGGATCCCCACACCCACCTGGTAATAAAGATACGTGAGTTGGGTGTGGTATCACTGTGCTCTTGTGCAGGGGATGGGTGGAGTGGGGGTGGGGAGGATGGAGCACCCCTTCCACCCCAATCTGGCTTCTCATTTGTCCTCACCTTAACCATAGCCCACACTACCACCTGAGCAGGCTCCATTCCAAACTCCCTGGCCGGACAGATCAGTCCATTCCTCACACTCAGAAGCCCAGTTCCTGCTACTAAACACCAAGGGTTCATCAGACCATCTGCAAACTAATGTCTGAACAGCAGTTCTTTTCTGAGGGTGATCTTGAACTCTTGACCCTCCTGTGTCTGTGTCCCGATGCTGGGCTGGCAGGGGTATGCCACTGTATCCTGCTATGGAAAAATCAAGTCAGAGGTAGGGGGATGCTGAGTGAGCTACATAACAAGACCTAGTCTCAAAGTGGAGGAGGGCTCACCCCTTTAATCCCAGCAAAGGCAGACGGATCTCTGGGAGTTCAAGGCCAGCCTCATCTGTCCTCATATAGTGAGTTCCAAGACAACTATAGCAACATAGTGAGACCCAGTCTCGAAACAAAGCAAAGCAAAACAAAAACAGTAAAGAGGCTTTACTCTGAACCAAGTTCTTCTGGGAAAGAGGATCATCATTTTATCAGCCTCATTTGCAAAATGTGGTTAGGGACTCTCCTAGGCCCTGGGGGACTGAGGGCCAGCAAAACTGCCATACAGTCTCAGGATAATGGCCTTTTCCTCTCCCGCCTCTCCATCTCCCCCTTCTTCCTCCTTCTCTTTATGCTTTTTGTTCCCCTCTTCCCTTTTTATTTTATTTTTTTTGAGGATCAGTGTTTTATGTGCCTTATGTGCACTGTGTGCATGCAGTGCCAGCAGAGCCCAGCAGAGGGTGCCAGATTCCCTGGACTTGGAGTTACAGATGATTGTAAGCCACCCTGTGGGTGCTTGGAAATGAGCTCCGACCCTTTGCAGGGGCAGTGAGTGTGCTGAGGCATCCAGGCCCTTTGTGCTGAGGCAGTGTCTGAGATAATGCAGGCTAGTTGAACTCCCGTGTCGCTGAGTCTGGAGGTGACGGGTGCCCACCTGCATCCTGGGAGTAGGGAGAGTTGTCCAGTGAGCTCCACAAGTGCTCTACGGTGAAGCCGCATCCCTTTCTTTGTTTTGAGACAGGGTGTCATTGTGTAACCTAGGCTATCCCATGGAGGATCCCATCTCTTGTCCACACCTGATGACTACACTTTTGGATGCCAACTCAGAGTCAGAATTCATGCCAGCATGAGAGGCCATTTATTGTTCAGAGCCTGGGCTCCCATGTTTAGGGGGAGCCCCTCCATTGCTTCCTCCCCCCATTGCCCCTGTGGACCCCTCAAGTGGCAGGTGGCTGAGCTGGTCGTGAAGGGAGCACATCTTCAAATGCATATAGTCCAAAGTGGCCACCTTCTCCCTGCAATGACAGCCAGCCAGGCATAAGCACAGGGGAGACCCAGCTGGGGCTAGAGTGGGTGAGGGGCAGGAGGAGGAGCCAGGCCCCATCCAGAGATCTCACCCTCCTCCCATGCCCTCCGCCTCCTCCGTCCTCACTCCGGCTTCATCTTGTCCGTCAGCAGTAGGTTCTTGGCCCGAAGGGCTTCGTCTTGGGCCAGCCGAAGGGTGGAGCTCAGGGCCTCTGCCCTGACGTGTTTGGCCAAGGCCTGGCGCTCCAGCTCCTGGGGAGAGGAGTGTACTAGGCGCCGCTGGGCTTACTGGACTGGGCTGGGGGTGGAGGGGGACCTGGGTCGCGGAGGGCAATGGGCAGGGTCCCACACACCACCCAAACTAACCCATCAGGCCTGGCCTTGAGTTGGGAACTGCCCAGGTATCCCACAATTCACTGGTCTCCCCAATTGCATCTGGTGAATGTTCCCTGGTGCACCGGCCTGTGTCCCGGCAAGCTGAGTCCCATTTGAAGCATTCACTATCCCCTAATGCCTTTGTCCTATTCTGTGTGAACCCCCACATCTCATGGTGGCCTTCTCACCCTCATAATTCTCAAGACCCTACATCTGTGATGCCAGCCTCTGTCAGAGTGGTCCCTAGTGTTACAGGTGTTCTCTATCCCACAATTCACCAGGCCTCCTGGGACTGAAGCTCACTACCATTCAAATCCCATCATTCTAAGGCCAAATCCTATCATACACTAACCTCCATATCCCACAATGCACTAAGCCATCAGCTCCCATCTATCCTGCTGCTAACTATAATTTATATCCCAGCATCCTGTAGCCCAATCTCACACACTGGCTCTCTATGTCCAACAATATATCAGGCCTCAAGTCCCAACAACTGTAGAGCTGTGGCTTGTGACAGTGGGTCCCCAGTCTGGCATTAAGGGTCCCTCTGAGTCCAGTGACCTTCCTGAGAGGCTACAGAAAATCAGGCCCATGTCCATGAGCTATAGAGAAGAATCTGCCCATGATATCCAAGCCCCAGTGTCTTATTGTGCTTTGGGCCAGAGCCTGTCACCGCAGGTTGCAGGGTGACTGGGCTGTAATTCAGCAGTCACCAACTCTTCTGCCTGCCTGCACAGAGGCAAGCCTTGCTGCTCCACACAGGCCTCCCCTTCCTGCCACAGGCCAGCAGGACTCCCTAGCCGGGGCTCCCCACACCCTGCCAAACCCAAAAGTAACGTGGGTCATGGCAGCCCATGGTGCCTGGTACCAGAATCTTCTTGTGTAGCCTCTGGCAGCTGGGGCAGGCAGGAGCCAGGCCTTTCTGCTTCACCTCATCCACCAGCGGTGTCAGCGCGCGTTCCAGCAGCTGCTGCAGGGACTCCGTGGACAGCTGCTGCCCCTGGCTGTAAGGGGTGGTGGCCAGATGGATGAGGCCCTGGATCAGGCTCCATCTGGCTATTTTTTATTTTTTGTTGAGACAGGGTTTCTCTGTGTAGCCCTGGCTGTCCTGGAACTCACTCTGTAGACCAGCCTGACCTGGAACTCACAGAGATCCACCTGCTTCTGCCTCCAGACTGCTGGGGTTAAAGGCGTGAACAAACCACCAAAGCTGGCCCTGTTTCTTTAGTCGCTTCAGAAAACCATACTACCAGACATTCTAGGCAGTGTACAATTAAACTTGATCCTGTGTTGTAACTGGAAACCCACTTCTTGCTCTTTCCACACATAGCAAGTTCTCTTTTTGTGTGTGCATGTGTGGGGGTCAAAGGTTGATGAATGTCTCCAAGTTATGTTTATTTAATTTTTAAGATTTATTATCTATAGTGTTCTGCCTGCATGTGTGCCTGTATGCCAGACGGGGGCACCAGCTCTCACTATAGATGGTTGTGAGCCACCATGTGTTTCCTGGGAATTGGACTCAGGACCTCTGGAAGGGCAGCCAGTGCTCTTGACTGGGAGCCGTCTCTCCAGCCCTCCCCACATTATTTTAACTAATTATTGTATGAGTGTGTATGTGTGAGAGAATGTGGGTGAGCAAGTGTGGGGTTAGAGGACAGCCATTGGGAGTGGAGTCTCTCCACTCACAGTAAGATACAGAGGTTGTCAGAACAAACATTATCCACTGAGCCACCTTTTAACCCTACTTCTTTTCTTCTTTGTTTGTTTGTTTGTTTTTTTTTTGTAGACTAGGCTGGCCTCAAATGCACAGCAATAAACCTGCATCTGCCGCCAGTGCTGGGATTAAAGGCATGCGCAATCATGTCAGGCCTTACCTGTTGTTCTTCTTTTTAAAGATTTATTTGTTTATATATATGTTGTATTGTCTGCATACCAGAAGAGGGCACCAGATCCCATGGGACTACAATTATAGATGGTTGCAAGCCAAAATGTGGGTGCTGGGAACTGAACTGAGGACCTCTTGGAAAAGCAGCCAGTGCTCTTAATTACTCTCTAGCTCTCCACCTTATTTTCAAAGACAGGGCCTCTGGAGTTCCTAGATTCAGGCACACTGGTGGGGTACAGGGATCCTCCTGTCTGCTGGCAAGGCAAACACTTTCCTCACTGAGCTATCCCTCTGTGCCCCTGGCATCATGTGGTGGAGCACCCACCCTCACGGCAGCCCAACCTTCCTACAGTGTGCTGGAAATGCGTCAAGTCTCAATCTTTGCTTTCCACAAAAAGCCAACTTGTACTACATGGAAAGGATAGAAAAGTTGTTCCCACAATGCAACAGGACTCTCTGCGACCCACAGAAACACATCTCTCACAATGACAATATCCTATCCTATGTGTGACCCACAATGCAGGGGTTACCCCTTCCCATACCTGGCGCAGCGGGCACAGGGGCCTTGGACAGAACGATCCAAGTTCAAGACATGGTCGGGCCCCCTTCGGGAGTTCTGAAGTTGCCGGCCCAGCTCCTCCAGAATCGGTTTCACTGGGCCCAGCGCCTCCAATTCAGTCCTCAGCGAAGCCACAGACACTGCTGACCTCTCCACCCTGAGATGGGAGAGCGACCAGTGGGGGTAACTTGCAACCTCCAATGTTAGCCCAGCACCAGGAGTCCACCTTTCAATACAATGTATCTGCCTGTCCCCTGCTGAGATGTCTCTGTCCATCTACACTGGACAGAAGCCAGGGCTTCTACTAGGCAAACATGCTTATTCCTTACTGGTGGGTCCCAAGCAGGGACTCTACCTCAAAGCCACGCTCTCAATAGCAGGGTTATTTTAGTTTTGTTGTTTTTGTTTTGTTTTTGAGACAGGGTTTCTCTGTGTAGCCCTGGCTGTCCTAGAATCACTTTGTGGACCAGGCTGGCCTCGAACACACAGAGATCCACCTGCCTCTGCCTCCTGAGTGCTGGAATTACAGGTGTGTGCCAGCACCCCCGGTTTAGCAGGGTTATTTGAGACATGGGCTCTACCACTGAGCCACACCTCCAACCCCTCGATGGGGATTCTAGGCAAGTGCTAGCTCTTGGTCAATCTTTTTCCCTCAAGGATCCACCCTCGGATGGGTTCCACTTTCCATGGACCCCATGTCCCCTCCAGCACCCGCTGAGCCTTACATCGTGCACAGCTCATCTGCCCGTCCTCGAAGCTCCTGCAAGCCCCGGGCCGACTGTGCTTGTTCCCGCTGTGCTCGCTCCCACTGGCCCAGGAAGCCATCCAGCCGGCCTCCCAGGCCTCCGAGCAAACGCAGAGCTTCCTGCACCGCCCCCTCCTCCTGATGCCACCGGGCTGCCAGGGAGGACACCTCCCTCCTGCGAAAAGCAGAGGGAAGAAAGGGTTGGGTATAGATTTGACCATGCGTGTCACCTCGCCCCAGATAGATCACCAAATTGTTTTCTTTTCCTCTTTCTTTCTTTTTTTCTTTTTTCTTTTTTTTTTTTTTTTTTTATTTTTTTAAGACGGGGTCTGTAGCCAGATGGTGGTGGCACACGCCTTTAAACCCAGCACTTGGGAAGCAGAGGCAGGCGATCTCTGAGTTCAATGTTAGCCTGGTCTGCAGAGCAAGTTCCAGGACAGCCAGGGCTACAAAGAGAAACAAAGAAGACAGAGTCTATGTAGCCCTGGTTGTACTGGACCGCTCTCTGTAGACAGGGCTGGCATCAAACCTAGATGTCCTCCAACCTCTGCCCCGCAGGGCACCACCATATGCTCTGCCCTTTTCCCTTTCCGGTGTGTGCTAGGTTAGTTAGCCCTGCACCACTTGACGTAACCACCCGAATCCTCACCCAGGCTCTCTTTCTGCTCCTACTCACCTAGCCCTAAGTCTGCCCCCTGCCCCCCCCCCCCCGCCCCCCATACATCAAACTCCCAAGTCTGGGGTCCACTCTGTCCCGCCCACCCCACCTCTAACAAACCCACCCACACAGCCTCCAAGCTTGGTTCCACCTGGGGCCTGGTCCACCCACCTCCTGCAGCCCCCGCCCACCTCAGCTCCTCCAGGCCGGTGGACACCTTCTGCAACTCCTGCTCGCTCAACGAGAGTCCTTCCCCTGTGCGGAGCGCTAAGCCCCAGGCACTGGAGGCCAGGCCCCTCGGCCGCGGGGGTTCCTCGGGGCTACCGGGGGGCCCAGAACAGCCCTGAAGGGGAGCGGCAGGGCCCAGGCCATGCCGGGAAAGGCCGGCCTCCAGCTTTTGCTCCAGTTCCTGCAGCTCGGCCTCCTGCCTCCTAGGCGTCTCATCCTGGAGTTGCTGCTGGAGGTATCTTAGCTTCTCCTGGGCAAGGGAGGACAACGATTCAGGGTATCCAGCCCCTTGCCACCCGCAGCTAACTGCACCCCAGGGGTCCCGAGACTGCAAAGGAGTGTGGAAAGAGGACAGTGGGAACCCCCGCTTGTCATTAGGAGGAGCGATAACCTTTACTCTAAAGCCCGCTATGGCTGCAGCCAGCCTTCCACCCCTTCTCCTGTCTTGCCTGCCTCTTAGGGACCAGCACAAGTTTTCCTGGCCTTTTGTTATCAAGTGAGCTGGCAGATCTTCATCCTAGACCTGGCCCACTCAGGCATTTTAGGCTACACCCTTACACAACACTAAGCTTCCTCAGGCTGCACTCCTCACTGGAGGCTCTGGAGGCTTCACACCCTGCCCTCCCCAGCTCCTCCAAACCCCATCCTTAGACTCCACCCAAACGCCTAACGCACAGCCTCATACCTCCAGCAAGGCCGAGTTCTGCTTCAGGACATTGGTTTTGATTTCAGCGTCTTCCACTGACCGGGTCACTTTGCGGCAGTTCTCCTGGGTCAGAACATCGGGGCGGGGGCCCTGCCTTCCCATTCCGGTTCTGCCCCCACCTTCAGCCCCGTTTTTTGCATAGCACCTGCCCCGTGTAGGACGCACCCCCTTCCCAGCCAGGCTTCCTTCCTAGCCCCCCCCCCCGTGCTACCCTCTTCAACCAGCCCCTTCTCCTGAGCTCCTTTTGCTTTACATTTTCAAATTTAAAAGATTAAAAAAAAAAAAAAAATCTTATGATGAGCCTGGTGGTGGGTGGAGGCGGCGATGGTGGCCCATGCCTTTAATCCCAGCACTTGGGAGGCAGAGGCAGGCAGATCTCTGAGGTCGAGGCCAGCCTGGCCTACAGAGTGAGTTCCAGGACAGCCAGGACTACACTGAGAAACCCTGTCCTGAGAAACATTTTTTCTTCTTATACATATAAGTATTTGTTGTGTGTATGTATGTAGATACATATGTGTGCAACAATGCATGCAGTGCCCATGAAAGCCACGAAAGGGACGTTTTTGGTAGCCGTGAGAGGGTCTCACGTACCCTGGCCTCCAACTCATTGTGTAGAGCCTTGAACGGTTAAGTGCTGTGGTCACAGGTGTGTGCTACCACACCCAGCCCAATCCCATACGAGGCCTGAATCTGGGACTTCATGCTAGGATGAGCGGTAACTGCCCTCGTGGTCGTGGTCCCTCCTCTCGACTCCTCCCCACCCATCCCTCCACAGCGGCTCACCTTCAGCTGGCTGCAGTATCCCTCCAACTCTTCAGCCTCCTGCCGCCTTCTCTCCAGATTCTCGCTCAGCACAGAGCACTCGCTCTTGACCGTGGAAGGGAGGTGGGATTACACAGGGGCAGGGGGGGAAGCTTACACAGGGAGCAGGGTCTTAGCCTCCTGAGGGCTGGGCATGCACAAAGGGGAAAGGTGGCTACAGGCCGGGAACTTAGTTCTGGAGGAAGAGGCCACAACAGGGGCACAGGGCTCCTCAAGTGTCTGTCATACCTGTAATGTCTGAACGTGCTGATTAACTCGAGTGGTCTTTTCCTTCAAGCTGGTAATGGAGTCTTTGGCACGTACCAATCCACTGTTGACCCCACTCTGGTTAAGAATGAGAGGCTTGTATAGTTCAACACCAAGAAAATTCTAGAACTAGCAGGCTGTGTTTTTCAGCCTGGTTTTGCTCTGGATGGGTATGTGGCTTTCAGTAAAGGGTGGGTTCAGTTTTCTTGTTTGGTAAAGTTAGAAATAAACTAATACTCTTTTCAGTGTGCTGGGAAAAGAGGTGGGCAAATGCCTAGAATTCCCCAACTGGAGGTGAGGGTGTGGCTCAGTGGCACAGCCTCTGCCTAGAATCCCCACAAGAGGGGCTGGAGTGTAGCTCAGTGGTAGAGTACTTGCAGGCATGCGAAAGATCCTGGGTTCCAGCCACAAATGTGTGCCCATAAAAACCCTCCTCTTTTCTGTCTCCCTACTCTCTGGAGCATAAAATTGACAATCATCTTGGATCATCAGATAGAAACCATGAGATCTGTCTCAATATGTAGTTCTGGCTGGCCTCGAACTCACCGAGGTAGCCTGCCTTTGCCTCCGGAGGGCGAGGATTAAAGCCATCACCTCTGGCTTACCCTGCTCAATTTTCGGTTGAGGCAGCAGCTTGTGCCCTGTGCAAACTGCTCTTTTCTGTCCTTTTTGCTACAGCAGTCAAACTCGTTATGCAACAACTGCCATTTACATTCTTAGCTCTCAGTTAGCTAGAGCTCCCTTGCAGCTGGCTGGGAGCACGTGCCAGGCTTGCCAATGTGGATGAGTGAGCACAGTGAGAACGCAGAGTGATGTACTGCAAGGGCAGGCCTGGCCTCTACCGCCTTCCTTTCTCAGCTTCAGCTTGCTTTCCTTGCCCTCCTTGTCTCTGATCTTTATTTTTACTTTACTTTCTTTCTCTTTTTTATTGTATTTTTCTAAAGGAACCTGACTCTCTAGCCTAGGCTATGTACTCATTAAATAGCCCAAATTGACCTTACAATAGAACTCACAGAGATCCACCTGCCTCTGCCTCCCAGCTGCTGGGATTAAAGGTGCACACCACCATGCCAGGCCCCTGACTCAGCTTCTTATGTATTAGGATTACTGGCAAGAGCCTTGGCACCCAGCTCTCTTTTTGAGTCTTAGCCCAGCAGTGGTTAAATCCAGCGCTTGGGAGGCAGAGGGTAGGTAGCTGGATCTCTGAGTTGGAGCCAGAGTGGTCTACAGAGTAAGTTCCAGGACAGCTAGGGCTACATAACTGGCCTGTCTTGAAAAACCAAAACCAATACAAAAATTATGATAATTAAAAACAAGTTTCCTTGACTGTAAAATGAAGAAAGTACATTTCTTTTGTGATTGCTATGAGGATATAAATATTGTAATTAAGGTTCTGTCAGTGGGGCTAGAGGGATAGCTCAGAGGTTAAGACCATTGGGTGCTTTTCCAGAGATCCTGAGTTCAATTCCCAGCAACCCCTTGGTAGCTACAACCATCTATAATGAGATCTGGTGCTCTCTTCTGGCCTGCAGGCACACTTGCAGGCAGAACACTGTATATGTAATTAAAAAAAAAAAATTAAGTGTTGTGAGTGGCTGGGCATGTGGCACACACCTTTAACCCCAGCCAGCACTCAGGAGAGCAGAGGCAGGTGGATCTCTGTGAACTAGAGGCTAGCCTGGTCTACATAGTGAGTTCCAGGCAGCCAAGAGCTACAGAGTGAGAACTTATCTTGGCTTAATTTTTTGTTGTTTTGAGGCAGGGTTTCTCTGTGTAATCCTGGCTGTCCTGGATCTTGCTCTGTAGACCAGGCTGGCCTTGAACTCAGAGATCTGCCTGCCTCTGCCTTCTGAGTGCTGTGATCAAAGGCATGTGACACCACCACCTACTGTGCGAATTTATCTTAAGAAAATAAAAATTAAAAAAAATAAAAATAAAAAAAAGAAAATAAAAATAATGTCAGCAAAATGGTAAAATTCCTCACTATAATAAAAATAATGAAATAAACCAGAAACAGGTGGAGTCACTCTCTGACACTCTGGAAATTCAGGATGCAATGGGCCAGGTATGGTGGCACACTCCAGTTGTCTTAGCACCTGAGGTAGGTGATGCTCTGAGGATTGCTGGCGGCCATGTCGGCCATGTCATGAGCCTCTATGTATGGAGAAGCCCATATGGCCAGGAGCCTAGAGGCCAGAAAGGAGTTGAGGCACCCACATGGGCAATGTCTGGGTAGGGCATCTTCCAACCCTAGTCAAGCCATCAAAGAATGCAGCTGTGTCCAAACTGTTGACCTCGCACTGATCCTGTCCTACGAATACGGCTGTGAGCACAATATCGGCCTCATCTCAGCAGAGGCCGACCAGCCCCACTGAAAAGGTGACTATATCCTGTGTCCCTGGAGGTAATGTCTACAGCAATGTGATCCTAGCAGGTGACTAAGTCCTTGAGGAAATGCCGACCAATTCTCATCCCATTACAGGACTATGGCCTCAGACACAGACACAGAATTAACCTATCCTGACCTCTTCAGAGGACCATAGCTCTGACAGAAGGGTTGACTGGTCCCTTATCCCAGCCATGTGCCTGAAACTTCCATATTAACCAATCAAAGATGGGCTGTCTTAAGTATCAGGACTTGAGACTGATACTCCAACCAAGGACCATGCGTCAAGATAACCTAGAACCCCTGCACAGATGTAGCTCATGGCAGCTCAGTATCCAAGTGGGTTCCCTAGTAAGGGAGACATGAACTCAGTGGCTGGCTCTTTGATCACTTCCCCCTGAGGGGGGAGCAGCTTTACCTGGCCACAGAGGAAGACTTATCAGTGGACTTAGAGAGGGGCATCAGAGGAGACGAGGGAGGAAGGGTGGAATTGGGAGGGAATGATGGAGGGGATTACAGCTAGGATACAAAGTGAATAAACTGTAATTAATAGAAAAAATAAAAATAATAAAGTATCAGGACTCATTTCAAAGCATTAGATAACTAATATGCAAAACGTCTTTCTGAACGGAAGACTCAGTAGGCTACCTAGGGGGAAATGTTTTGGGGGACATAGAGCATTCATCCTGGATCAGCTCATTTCACTTCCTGTGTGATCTCAGGGAGGCCATCTTAGCCATACCAAAGTATCCCTACCTGTGTAATATATGTGTGACTAATGGCCACCATCACAGGATGACTAGCCTAAATAGCATGGGTCAATACTTGGGAAGGGGTATTCTGGATCCTTGGAGGAGAGAGAGGATGAGAGACTGGCATGCCAAAGGCTTACAGACAGGTGAGGGAGCCTGTCTTGGGACATGTTCTGTACAACTCCTGGCATCATGATTCCCTGCCTGGAGCCTGCCTCAGTTTCCCTTCCCGTAAGATGGGGAATAAGGAGATAAGGAATAAGTTAATGAGCAATGTCAGTCAGCATGGCGGTGGAGGCAGCAGGATCAAGAGTCCAAAGAGACAGGGGCCTAACAGAGTCTGGGAAAGAAGGACAGGACTGTCTTCCTGGATACTGAAGCCAACCTGGGATGCATGAGGCCCTGTCTGAAAAAAATTTCAAGGGGCCAAAATACAACGTTGGGAATGGTGGCACAAGCCTGTCAGCCCAGTACTTAGGAAGCTGAGGAAAGGGGTCATGTGCATGCCAGGCCAGACTGGGCTATAAAGATTTCTACCCCGAAATCAAATGATGAAGATGGCATAATGTGTCCATGGAGGAGTGAGGAGCCACCACAGAACGGGGAATGAGTGTCAGTGTGTCCTTAGAAGGAGAGACCCTGATGGTCACTGCTGTCACTCACCTGCTGGCTACCCAAGAGCGCCAGTCCCTCCTGACAGCACCTCTGCCTGCTGGGAAGCCGTGACTGGACGCTGACAGTGACCTGCCAGCCAGCACTAGCCTTACCTCCTCTGGCCTCCCTGCCTTCTCTCTCCCCTGCACATACCAGCCTCCTGCTCTAGAGGAGTCTCAGGGAAGAAAGAAGTTTTCTTTGGCATCCAACTCAGCAGCCTTCTAATTTAGCCTCTAGCCTCTGGTTCTTTTTTTTTTTTTTAATATTTTATTTATTTATTATTTATACAGTATTCAGCCTTTATGTGTGCCTGCATGCCAGAAGAGGGCCCCGGATCTCATTATAGATGGTTGTGAGCTGGGAATTAAACTCAGGACCTTTGGAAGCACAGCCAGTGTTCCTATTGTTTGAGCCATTTCTCCAGCTCATAGCCTCTGGTTCTTATAAGCACTCCACAGCCTTGTGATCTTAGGAAGGACTCTGCCTTCTATTCCTCCATTATTTCCTTCATCTTTAAACTGGATTATACAAACTCCCTTATAGATGCTCTAAAAAGAGGAAGTGACATCACAGGATATAGCACACAACAAGATAACAGTAAATGGAAAGAGAGCCAATCTACCAAGTAGCTTCTCCCTCTCCACTGAATCCACAATGGCTCCTTATGGCCCTTGAGACCATATCTATGTTTTGCAGCCTGTGTGGGCAGTGTCCTGCTCTCTATCCAGCCCAAATCTCCCACTACAGTCCTTCCTTTTCCACACTCTTTTCAGCCCCTGTCTCTTTGCACATGCTGTTCTTGGTGGCCGCAATGCTTTTCCACATGGAAAATTCCTTACTTCAGCTTCAAGGTCTACCCTGTGTGTTCTCTTTTCTGTGCTACTTTGACGACTCTTCCTCAGGGTGTCCAGTGTCCTGTACTATCCCAGCCAGTGTAGCTTAGCACGAGTCCTCTGCCATGACTCTTTAAGCTGCTTCTGCTACTTCCAAGCGGTGAGACCTTGCTTATGCTACTTAACCTCTCTGGGCCTCCATATCTTCACTAACAGAGAAATGAGGCTAAATACTGCCAGAAATAACTACTACTGGTTATTTGGGGCTGTTGGCTGGCTGCCACACAAAGGCTTGGACATGAGTGAGGGGACTTCCTTCTCTGGAGACGGGTCCAGTTCTGTCTTGGATTCTGCTATTTCCTACTCCTTTATTGGAGTGATATATACATATTCCTCACAGTGGAGACATGTCCTCTACCCTCTGAGACTCACAGAGCATGATTAAATTTCTGTCAGATTCTACCTTAGGTTGGTTGGTTTGTTTTAAGGCAAGGTCTGTGTAGCCCAGGCTGGCCTTGAAGTCACAGAGATCAGCCTGCTTTTGCCTCCTAAGTGCTGAGATCAAAGACATGAGACACCACGCCTAGCATTTATATTTTTTTCTACATTTATTTGGTTCTCTCTGCCGTGTGGGTTTCTGGGATTGATCTTAGGCTGTCAGGTTTGGAAGCACCCACTGAGACATCACACAGATCCTCAGTGTTTAATATCTCAGATAATGACATCTTCTTGTCCTGGTTGCTGTCATATGATGAACTCCCAATCTCCCAGGTCAGACTGTGCCCCAAACCCAGGCAAGACAGGCTGAGGCTTTTGGACTCTAGATAGATCAGGACTATGGGCCCTATTCACTGAGGCAGAAGCAATAGAAAACAGTTCTGGGGTGATGAGATTGCTTATTGGGTACAGATGACCTGAGTCTGATCCCCAGACCCATTCAATGAACGGAAGCTTCTAAGTTGTCCTCTGATTTCCTCATGTGTACTGTAGCACACTCATGCCCCCACAGACATAATGAATGTAATAATAATAATAAAAAGAATAGAGGCTGGAGAAGAAGCTTAGCATTAAGAGTGTTGGCTATTTTTGCAGAGGACCTAGGTTCCATTCCCAGAATCCACATAGCAGCTCAAAATCATCTGGAACTCCAGTTTCAGGGACATCTGACACCCTCTTCTGGCCTCCTTGGGCAGCAGACACATACATGCAGGCAGAACACTCATAAAATAAACATATATTTTTTAAATTCCAGCACAGGCCGGGCAGTGGTGGCACACGCCTTTAATCCCAGTACTTAGGAGGCAGGGGGAGGTGGGTCTCTGAGTTCGAGGCCAGCCTGGTCTACAGAACAATTTCTAGGACAGCAGGTGCTGCACAGAGGAACCCTGTCTCAAAAAACAAGAGAGGGGTTGGGGCGACTCAGGCAAGCTGGCTCAGCAGGCAAAGGGTAAAGGCAATTGCTACCAAGCCTGAGGACCTGAGTTCTGTCCTTGGGTTCCACATCATGGAAAGAGAGAAGGCCCCACCTCAAGTTATCTCTTACCTCCACAAGTACACTGGGGGACATGCCCCTCCCCAGCCACCCTATAACTCAGTGTATTCTTTGTTGCTTAGGGTGATACCCAGGGCCTTGCTTGCACTTGCTGGCCAAGTGCTCCACCACTGAGCTGTACTCCTACCCCCAGGACTCTTCCGGACACCGCCACTGGGGCCCATCTTCTGGTCCCAGTGACTAGAACGTCTCATTCTAAACTAGCCCAGCCCCCTCCTTAGATCTACCACCTCCATTGAGTAGACTCTGGCCTCCCCATAGCAGCTACTCACCAGAAGCTCTGTGATGTCAGGATCCTCTGGGGCCCAGGGTGTTGTAGGGGAAGCAGGGGGCCCTGGCAGTGCCAGTGGAGCACTGTCCTCTGTGGTTGAATCTGTGCCCGACGAGTCGGGCTCCATGGCAGCCAGGTTGAGTAAGGACACGTTGGTGCAGGCTGAGGACCGCTTGAGGTTCAGGCACCAGTGCATCGGCTCGTGGGACATCCGGGGTTCCACCCTGCAGGTGACCCAGGAGATGGTGGGGAGGGTGGGCCTTCTGGACACAGCACCTGGCCTCAGATGCCGCTAACCTTCCTTCACCTACCATTTCCCTGCCCGTTCTGGTTCCTGCTCCGCCCCCACTGCCTGCTCTCTTCCCATTGCTTCTCTCTTTTCCGGAATCTCCCTTCCACATACTGCCTTTGTACCGCCCTCTTCCTCACCCCTCCTTGCCCTCCAGCACCCATGCTTTCCTGTAGGCAGTGCTGGGCACTAGGCTTGTCACCAACAGGGCGCAGGAAACCCACCCGTGGAAGGACACGGCCTTCTTCTTCTTCGTTATCCCCTTGGCAGGGCTGGTCACCCCCCCGGGAGCCTCAGGGACCAGCTGGGCGCGGCTTTCGACACCCGCAGGTGGGTCCCCCGCTTCGTGGATCTCTTTGGATTGCCAGATTGTCTTCACCACCACGCTTGCCATGGCGCGGGGGGCCTGCTCCCAGGGGGAGACTCACCATCTACTCTGCCTGCCCCCCCGCTGGCGCTCAGGCTCCCCTAGCTCCTGGCCTGGGTCACAAAGGGCCCAACCACTGGGTCACAGAGAGGGGCATGGGAGAGAAGAGGTGCTGGCTCAGGATGCCCCCTGGAGACCTCAGTGGACTCTTCTGCCCTGGGTTCTGGTTGTACAGCTCCCTCATTCCAGTTCAGAGCACATGGATGGCCTGGTCCCTAACCCTGCAGTCAGCTCTGGGATCCAGTCGCAGGTCATCTATCTTGCTTCATGCCTTGCCTGGGATCTGAGAGACATTACAGAATCATTTCCAAGCCCTTCCCTGGAGTTAGTGTTCTGTGGGGATCTGGTAGGCAGAGTTGAGAAGAAAGACACTCAAACAAAAGATCCCAGCATTGGAAGTGCCACAGGGAAAGTGAGAGAAACCATGGCATATGCCACAACTTCTCAACATGTACTTTGGGATTTAGGCTTCATACTGTGTGTGAATTTTGCCTGTTAAAAAAAGAATCTAAAGCCAGACGAGGTGGCGCAGGCTTAATAATTCCAGCACTCAGGGAGGCAGAGGCAGGTGGATCTCTATGAGTTTGAGGCCATTCTACAGAGAAAGTTTCAGGACAGCAAGGGCTACACAGAGAAACCCTGCCCCTCACCTTAAAATATTTATTTATTTATTTATTTATTTATTTATTTATTTATTTATTTATTTATTATTTATACAGCATTCTGCCTGCATGTGTGCCTACACACCAGAAGAGGGCACCAGATCTCCTTATAGATGGTTATGAGCCACCATGTGGTTGCTAGGAATAGAATTCAGGACCTTTGTAAGAGCAGCCAGTGCTCTTAACCTCTGAGCCATATTTCTAGCCCCCTCACCCCCAAAGAATGAATTCTATTGGCTGATAAATAGAGCTCAGGGCTAGGGACTAGAGGAAGAATCTGTGATAAGCATAAGGATAGATTCTATTTGTTGTTGTTGGTTGTTTTGTTTTGTTTGAGACATGGTTTCCCTGTGTAGACCTGGCTGTCCTGGACTCACTTTGTAGACCAGGTTGGCCTTGAACTCACAGTGAACTGCCTGCCTCTGCCTCCCAGAGTGTGGGGAGTACAGGTGAGCACCGCCACTCCCAGGTGATAGATTCTGTTTGTGGAGGATGCAGAGAACATGGCCTCTTCTATAGGGATGTATTCTATTCAATGAGAGACAAAGCTCAAGAGATTGGGGATTCTGTTGGCATAATGTTTTTGTGGACTGTGTAGTTTACCCTTGTTCATTCATGCTGAATTTTCTACCCCACTATCTTGTTTAATCTGGATATTGCATTCTTTTGTTTATTCTAAATATCTCCTGCCTCGACTTTGTGTAAACATGCCCCACCATTTTTTCTCTGAATTGTCAATAAAAAGCCAACCAGCCAACGCTGAGCAATACTGGAGAATAGGGTGGGACATCCTGGCCCAGGGAGGGGAGAAAAAGGGGAGGGCAGCGGGAGGTGGAGCCAAAAGGAGAGTACTTGTGAAGACCAGAAGAACCGAACTGGCCTTAGGATATGATCAAAAAGCAAGTGCAATGTGGGAAATCTGAATGGGAGGAACCTATACTAGCTTGGAGGTTTAGGATAGAGTATTATTGTGCTGCGTTGTGCTCTAGGCCAATTAAATAAATCCTAGTCTCTTTGTGTGGTTATTTGGGTATACAGCTGGTTAGGGAGCAACTGCTGCTTTACTAAAATAGAAATCAATATTAAACATTAATAATCATTAATGGACTTCATGTTATCCACACCCTTAATATTCATATTTAATTATTTAAAAAGTTCTGTATGGAAACTTCAAACTAACACTCTCCAGGATCAAAGTCAATACAGTGAGGGGAGTAGAGACAGGTTCAAATACAGCCACGGCCTAATCTAGTTCTCTGGGGCTTGAAAGGACAGCTGCTCTCCAGAGCGCGTAGCTCCGAGAAACTTGCCCAAAGCAAGTAAGACAGGGCATAGCTCCAGACCCAGGCGGAAAGCAGGCAGAAGAAACAGCCAGCTGGCTAACGGGGAACCAGGCAGTTTGCTCTGGCCTGGGAAATTTTCAAAGGAGGAGTCAAATACTAACTGCTTGGAAAACTCCTGCTGTGCGGTTACCTAGCAACTGACATTCTCAGAGCCTGAGGGCTTGGGGCTTGTAAGCAGAACTCCAGCAGAGAGGAAAAAACTCAAAGAAAACTTAGAAGCTGTTTAAACTGCTCGCTCTGGCCAAAAGCTTACCTAAAGGGAAAAAGCCTGCTTGCTAGACCCGAACTAAAGGGACTCTTCGTCGTCGGACACCTGCTAACCTTAGGAGCCAACACTTCATAACTTCCCAGAGCAGGAGGAAGGGTCAGAATGTCCAAGTTACAGGTGTGGGGGCGGAAGAACGCCGCTTCTTCGTGAGCCAAACAGCAGAGCACAGGAAGCAAAGATCAGACACAAGCACAGAACGGAGCTTTTGATCAGGTAAACTGTTTAAAAAATTACAAAGGGAACTGAATATAAAACATCATATATAGACACGAACACATTAAGATTGGTCGTCTTAAAGAAATAAAGAATATAATAAAGCATATAAGATGGGAGAGACAATAAAACAGACTTCTTGGAGCTTGTTCTAAGAAATAAAAGAGAGATCAGAAAGTTATGATTATTATTATATTCATGATCCTTAATTTTACTTTAGTAATTGGGTTAGCCTTTTCTGTCTTCTTAAAGCAAGAGGTTTAGAGAAGAGGCTAGAACAACATAAAGAAAAAAAAAAAAACAAAATTTGGAAGCAAGGCATAAAACAAGATATCCAAGAACTTATAGAACATAATAAACAACAGAGAGATAGATCCGAAATATGGGCACAGACCTTAAGAGAAGAGCTTAGGATATTAAGTAAGGAAAAAGCACAGGCAGAGAAAAAGATAAAAATAAAGCCAACCAAAAATTGTTAAGAAACGTTACCTCATCCAGTTAGTATACAACAAAAACCAGCAGATGATGATCAGCCACAAGGTTATCAAAAATTTGAATGGCAACCCGTGGAAGTGTTGAATTTGAGAAAATTTAAGGAAAATGTCATTAATTTTGGGATGCATTCCCAGTTTGTAAAACAAATACTGACTTGTTCAATTACAGTAATCACAAAAGACTGGGGGGATATGGCAAAGGTAATGTTAGAACCTGGGCCATTTTACAGTGGCTTTCATGGTGGAGAGAAGAGGATGGAGAGATAGCACAGAGAAATAGAGTCAGGGTGTCAATATTTCTATGGATCAGCTACTTGGTGATGGTTAATATGCTGAGATAGAGATACAAGCCATATAGAATGAAGAAACTTTAGCATTATGCCGCATAACAGCCTTAAATACCTGGGACAGGGTTGAGGAAACAGGAAAACAAAACAAAACAAAAAACTTAAGGCATTCTCTCAAGTCATGAAAGGTCCAAAAGAAAATTTTACTGACTTTTGCAAAGATTGACCTCAGCTGGTATATCAGATCCACTAGCTAAAAAGACACTAAAAGAATCTTTAGCTTTTGAAAATGCTAATACTGAATGCAAAGAGGTAATAAGGCTGTTAAGAGCAAGATCAGCATTGACAGATGTGGATTAGAAATGCTGTTAACATCAAACCTTACTCGCCTAATATGGCCTTACCAGGAGAAGCCACCACTAAAGACTTTGAAACAATTCAGACACCCAAATGCCTTAAATGTGGTGGACGGGGTTGCTGCAAAGGGAATTACAGGGAAAATAAAAATAATTCCAAAAGGGGCCTATGTCTCCTGGAATATACAAAGATGTGGCAAAGGCCGGTACTGGAGCAGTAAGTGTAGATCAATCACAGACAAATGGGGCAACCCCTTATCAAAAAATGCCAAGGGGGCCCTCTCCGAGACCTCAGTACAAAATATGGAAAATACTCTTCTACAAAACAATTAAACAATTAATATCTGAAAACAGACATTAAAAAAACTAATCAAGGTCAGAGCTAGTTTTATAGATAAATCAAAAAACCAAAAAGGCCAAAAAACAAATATTTTGGCAAACGTCTATGGATGGCTAGAGGGCAAAACTAAAAGGTAATTATAAATAATACTGAAATTGAAGGCATGGTCGACACTGGCGCCGACCTCACAATCACCTCTCCTAAGTTCTGGCCTCCAGATTGGCCACTTCAAGCAGTAGATATCCAGTTTCAAAGAGTTGGGACTTTATTTCAGATAAAACAAAGTGTCAGATGGCTTAAATGTACAGGGCCAGAAGGTCAAATAGAAAAATTAAGGACATACGTGGCTGATACAGCCATAAACTTGCAGGGAAGAGATCTGTTACAACAATGAAAAATAGGTTAACACCTCTCCAATTTCAGAGACAAGCCAGAGAACAAACAGGTGATGCGCCTGATTAATAAATAAAATTATTAAAAAATGCTATCAGAAACAGTTATAGACTGTCCACGCTGTCCATAAACAAGATACAGCAGAGGCCAGCTCTTTAGCTTTATGTTGGGAAGCCTCTGCTGATAAAACACCCACAGCCTTACCATTACAGTGGTTAACTAACCAACCTATTTGAATTAAACAATGGTTTATGACTGAAGAAAAATTATAGTCACTAGAACAACTGGTCCAAGAGCAGCTGGAGGCTCAGCACAGAGGAGTTCATAAGCCCTTGGAATTCTCCTGCATTTGGCATCAAAAAGAAATCTGGCAAATGGAGGATGTTAACAGATCTCAGAGCAACTAATAAAATTATTCAGCCAGTGGGATCTTTACAGTCTGGAATCCCATTGCCTTCCTTGTTACCTAAGAAATGGCCTTTCATAGTGATTGATTTAAAGGATTGTTTTTTCACAATTCCTTTACATGAACATCACAAGAAAAGGTTTGCTTTTTCAGTTCCTACCTTTTTCTTTTTTTAGAAAGACTTATTTATTCATTTTATGTATAT